ATCTCACAATTGCCTAGCTTGTTTATTGCTTCAACTTTCTAAAAGTCTGAGTCCTCTAAGGTAATTGTAAAATAATGGATTATTCCTTTTATCATAATATTTATTTTCTGTTGAAAGTAGTCCACTTGATCTATATTTTATACATTAACGAAAGTCTGATGGATCTTTCTTCTTTTATAGCTCGTTCAGCTCTATCATTCTTTGCATTCTTGATTTATATGACTTTTCTATTGAAATTTTCCCAAATTTCTATCTCTTCACTTAAATCTTACGGGTTTGAATTTTGATTTGCAACTGCTCTCTTCATTGATAGGTAAAAAAATCTGAATTGTATGATAATTGTATCATATTTGTTTTAGAATTATATCATAATTATATCCAAATTGTATGTGACTTGTATATAATACAACAATACCCAAAACAATACTTGATACATTACTAATACAATTATAATACGATTATATTCAATTTTTAGTGTAGAGTTGTGATTGAAACTCGAAGAAGAAAAAGATCATAATTGTATCACAATTTTCATAAATGCATCGCGATCGTATCATAAATGTATATGTATTACAATTGTTGTAGGATTTGTATTACAAATGTTTGTTAATAATGTATATTCTCTGTATATTGTTACGAGCAGTTATGAGTTCGTGACCAATTTTGTAGTTTGTATCACAAATGTATGATATTTGTATATTAATTTATTAGCAATGTATCAGGTATTGTTTTGGATATTAATGTACCAGATACAAGTTACATACAACTGTGATACACATATGATACAATTATATTTTAGGCATTGATGTATCTGATACAATTCAAATATAATTATGATATAGTAGTTATTATACAATTCATGCAACTTTTTTTTTCGAGTTTCAATATAAAATTTCACCTAAAAGGACCTATATACTTAATTAATCTCACTTCAAATTGAGACAAAATCTGAAAATATGACTATCGAATTCAAAACTTCAAAACATTTTAATGGAACGACATTGAGAATAATTCTGGTAACAATATGAATATTTTTTTATTTTCAGTTTTGTCCAGTCTCCCAGCAAAAGAACGATGCAATTGATAATTTTTTAATAATATAAAGTTGTCGGCAATGGTGGGAAGAGAGAAGATGGAGATTCTACGCGTAGATTAAGAGAGTTTGATGTAAAAAAAGGAGAGAGAAGAAGAGAGGGAAAAAAGAAAATAATATAATTGAATCCCTTAATTGAAGTCATTAATAATAGGGTGAGAGCCTTTTAAGGAGTAATATACAATTTATAAGAAAAACCTAGATACTTATTAAAAACTATGAAATATAGAGAAAATAGGTATATGTTACCAAAGTGATAAAAAAACTTGCAATCATGTGACATTAATTTAAAGGCATGAGATTAATTTAGTGTAATTGGTAAAGATCCCAAATATTTTTTTTTTCTTGGATTGTTAATAGTCGATTATATCTAAATTGGAATTGATGCGTAATTATTGAAATATCAAAAACATGTCCACAATTCTATTTCCCAATGTCAACTGCAAAACATGCTTATGGGGACCATGAAAATATTGAGTTTCCAAAGCTAGAATTTAACTTATCTCTATTTCCAACTATTATATTATGTAATACAATTTGTCACTGTATCTTATTTTAATTTTCTTAGGTACGATAAATTTGTTGTACACATATTGCTTTTCAACTTTGGAAATGTAACGATCCGACTTGTTATTTTAAGAAATTACGTCTCGTCCAGTGATTTAAGATCTCGAGAAGCTTCACAATATATATTATGACCCGCGTGTGTGATCGAATTTGGTTTTCGGAAGATTTGGAATTTAATTTAAAGAAAAATTCTCATTTTGAAGCTTAAACGGAAAGAGTTGACCGGAGAGTTGACTTTTGAGCAAACGACCCCGAAATGAAATTTCGATGATGGCAATAGCTTTGTATGATGATTTCGGACTTAGGCGTATGTTCGAATTTGGATTTAGAAGTCCGTAGGATAATTCGACATATTTTGGTGAAAGTTAAAAAATATAAGATTTTGGAAAAAAGTTCGACCGAAAGGTGAATTTTTGATAACAAGGTCGGATTTCGATTCCGGAAATGGGAATAGCTCCCTTATATCAATTATGACTTGTGTGCGAAATTTGAAGTCACTCCGGATTGATTTGATACGTTTCGGCGCAAAATATAGAAGTTGGAAGAATTGAAAAACTTATAATTCGATTCGATGTGCGATTCGTAATTTTGGCATTGTTTGAAGCCTCGACTAAGTTCGTATTGTATTTTGGGACATGTTGATATAATTGGTTGAGGTCCCGGGGGTCTCGGGCGAGTTTCGGATGGTTAAACGGACCAAAATTGTGCTTGAAAGAATTTTAGAATTTTTTCAGTTCTGGTACCATAGCACCTGCGATGGAAATGGTCGTAGGTGCGCGACCGCAAAGCGACAAAATGGTCGCAGATGCGGCTTGGAGCGAGAAGGGCAAAGGTCGCAGGTGCGAAGCATTTTTCCGCACCTGCGTGAGCGCAGAAGCGGAAGCTCTTCCGCAGGTGCGAGGGCAGTGGTCACTGGGCATCGTAAAAGCGAGAATTTTCTCGCAAAAGCGAGCTCGCAAGTGCGACTAAAATGTCCGCATATGCGAAACTGGGCAGAAACATAGGGAATGAACTTGGTCATTTTTTGGCATTTCGTTTTGGAATTTTCGGAGCTCGGATTTGGGCGATTTTGTAGGGATTCTTCACAAGCTTGGTTGGGATAAGTGTTCTATATCCTAAAGTGATTATATTTCATGAATCTACGATTATATTCATCGTTTAATTCGGATTTAAATGGAAGAAATCAAGATTTTTACAAAATCTTTCAAAAATAAAAATTTAAGATTTGGAGGTCGAGTTGTTATTGAAATTCGATAAAATTAGTATGGTCGAACTCGTATCGGAATGAGTGTTTGGATTTCATAAAAATTATGTCGGGTTCCGAGGGACGGGCCCGACGTTGACTTTTGTTGACTTTTTAGAATAAAATTTTAAGTCGACGTATTATTATCCATAATTATTTCCGATGAATTTTAATGAAGTTATACAATTAATTTGGATCGATTTGAGCTGTCCGGAGGCCAATTCAAGCAAGAATGCTATTTTGGAATATCGGCTTGACTTCAAAAAGGTGAGTGTCTTGCTTAACCTCGAGTGAAAAAATTACCCCTTAGGCATTGAGTCTTATGTGCCATTTGTAAAATGTAAAAAGCTGTGTACGCGAGGTGACGAGTATGTACTCGGGCTTATACGTGCAAAATTCAATGAATTAAAGTCTTAGGCATTATTGTGTAGTAAATTGGAAAATTGTGAAAAATTATTAGATCATATGTTTGCCATGCCTAAATACTTATTGTTGAATTTGTTTTTATATGACAATTTGATGTGATTGTTACTTGATTATTTATATAATTCCGTGAATTTGCTGGTTTGATAATTATTGAAATTTAATTTCATTATGGATTTTTTCTCTGCAAATAATTAATTAAATGAGTTTAAGAAGAGGTATTTATATAATTATTGAAAATTTGGAGTTAATGAAGACTTTGCTTTTATGTTGAGTAATTTCTATCTTTGTTGATTATTTTTTGAGTGTTGTACACATTGTGTGGAGCCTTCGGCTATTTGTTGTGAAATTAATTGACTTGGTTATATCTTTGAAATTTTGATTGTAGCCATTGGGCAAATTGTAATATGAATTGATTTTGTTATATTGCCGTGATAATTTTTCGTGTAAATTGTTGTGTTGTGTTAATTATTATTTTGAAGATATAAGGGTGGCATTTCAATGTTGATATTATGTGGGTATAAGGGTGGCATTTCACTGTTGATATTATGTGGGTATAAGGGTGGCATTTCACTGTGTTTGTTAGAATATTGTCTGGGCGGAGCGATAAGGGTGGCAATAGGAGCGATAAGGGTGGCTATTGATATTGTCTGGGAGGAGCTATAAGGGTGGCAATAGGAGCGATAATGGTGGCAATAGGAGCGATAAAGTTGGCTATTGTGAGGGGTGATATGTGATAATGTGGGGTTGTGGCGTCGATGATTTTCATGTGATGTTGTGATTTTCTTGTGTTTATTTTTATACCTTGTGCAATTTGTCTTGTTGTTGGTAAATTGATAACAATCTGATTTATGTTGAAATTGAGAGCATGTGGTTATTGCCAAGCGAATTATAAAATAAAATGTGGGCACGAGGTACCATGAGTAAATAATGAGGATATTTGATACGTGAATTGTCCGTGCAGTTGTGATATGAAATGAGGGCACGAGATGCCGGAGAAAATATGATAATTTAATTATGGGCACGAAGTGCCGTGGAAATATAAAAATGGGCTGAGACCCATGTTTACAAAAAATATGAAAATGGGTTGAGACCCGTATTTTTATGATTATGAAATGAGGTGTCACATGGTGACTTTTTAATCGAAAGAATTTTATTCAAAATATTTATTTGGAAGGATTTTTATTCAAAAAGTATTATATGAAAGATACTTATTTGAGAAAATTATATTTGAAAAGATTTATTGAAAAAATTATATTTGAAAAATAGTTATTTGAGAAAAATTACATTTGAAAGAGAGTTATTTGGAAGAATTATATGTGAAGGATATTTATTTGAAAAACTTGAAATTATTTGGGCGCACATGTATTTATTAATTATTGAGTGATATTTATGGTATTCTTGTTGTCTTGCTGCGCATACCATTGATTGTTTTATCCTACCCTTATTGCTATATGTTTTCTAGTATTTTGTATATTATATTGCACATGTTATTAGACTAGTGAGTGTCTTGATTGTACCTCGTCTCTACTCCACTAAGGTTAGTCTTGATACTTACTGGGTACCGACTGTGGTGTACTCATACTACACTTCTGTACATTTTTGTGCAGAGCTAGGTATTGGAGATATCAGACTTGAGTAGAGTTAAAGCGGGACCGTAAGGATTCAAGGTAGAGCTGCTTGGTCGTCCCAGTCCCTTGGAGTGTATTCAGTTATTTTCTGTTTTTCTTCTTCCTCCGTATCAACACAACCACAAAACCCGTATAACAATGGCGGGAGTTTGAATTACAGCAGAAAAAAGAGAGAGAGCAAAGAATCAGTGACAGCTACAAATTCGAGACGAAAAAAATGGAAAATACAAGTCACAATGATGTTGATTCTCTTCGCAGGTTCATTATTTGTTATTTTCTCAATTTCAAGCTACAGTAACTTATTTTTGCCTATTTCTGTTTTTTTTTTTGAATATTATGGTTATAATAGGAATATTCAAGAGCTTAGAGATATTCAAAGAAGTTTTGAAGATCCAGAGTCATGCGATTTAGAATTGAAGAAATTACTGGAAGATTCTACACTTCAATTTAAGGTAAATGTAAAAGAAAATAAGAGAATTTTGGAAGATTCTCGAACTTTGTAGCACTTTCTTTTTATTTCTTACTGCTTTATGGATAGTTTGTAGAAATTCAAATTTTAGTTAAAAATGAGTGTATTGTATTAACATTTGTGCATACTCGTTTATCATTTTGATATTAGAATTTGCAGTTATTGTAGTTTCTAAGGGTGTGTTTGGTATGAAGAAAATGTGTAAAGTGGTTTCTTACTTATTTTCTGGTGTTTGGTAAGTGAGAAGAAAATATTATGCCAAGAGCATTTATATAATCTAGGTAAACACTAGGGACTTGGGGTTCTTGAGTGTGGTCAGGTGTGGGGGTCATGGGTTGGGGGGTGGGCNCTGACTTTTAAGGAAGTTGTTTTCCTAGAGAAAATATTTTGACCAATCAAATATGAGAAAATTTAAAAATATTTTTTGGAAAATATTTTCCTCCATACCAAGCACACCCTACATAGCTAAAGTTCTCTACACTGACAGTGTAAAAAATATTTATACAGGTCAATTAAAAGGACATTGCAGGTTATTCTGTTAACAATTATTGATTGTTAAACTAGCATAAAAGGTAATTAACCTCTTACAATAGGTTATACTATACTGGTGGTCTAAATATTCCTTTACACTGTCAGTGTATATAGCTTAAGGAAAATAAATAACTGTTTTCAGTTGTGCGTTTGGTTGAGGAAAATGTTCTGGATTATTTTCCAGTGTTATTGGATATATTTTTTAGTACTAGAGGTTGAAAACAATGTCTAAGAGCTATTGAAACAAGTAACATGGAAGAGTTGGGTTATTTGGAAAGGAAAATGACTTTTGTCATAAGCTAAAGAAGCCATCTTCCACTTACGTGGAAATTATTTTCATTGAGAAAGCATTTTTCACTATTTAAGATAACCAAACAATGAAAAATGATCTCATCAAACGATACATTTCTAACCGTACCAAACACGGAAGATCTGAAAATGATCAAATTGACTCTCGATAAGCCACAATGAATGAATAAATTGGGACCAAGAGAGGTTCTTCTTTTTTAATTTGATTTTTTCTTTTACGGCTTGAAATGTTCGCTATATTTTTCTGTCAATGTTGTGTTTGTTCACTGTGTATGATTTTGCAGAGCAAAGTGGAACAAATATTGTATGATGCTTCAGAGATCAGCTTCTCGTCTAATCAGGATATAGGTTTATATCTTTTTTTTTGCTCCATGTGTGTGTGTGTGTATCGATGTATTACACACACTTACATACACACGTACACATATATGTTTGGAAGGAGCTTACTATAACACACACGCACACACACATATCTTTGGAGGGAGCTTTATCTTCCATTTAAACCTCGTTTGTGCAACTTCAGATGAATTTTGGGAATATTTGAAGAATGAGCTAAGCACAGAGGAGGCTAAGAATGCAAAAATAGCAGATGAAATTGAGGGGCTTTCAAGGGAATATGTTGAAGGTGCTGAGAATTCCTGGTGGTTTTGGAAAATTCAGATTTATGTGGGACTAATAAGACATTGCTTGAGCTCTGATTTTGATATGTTTACTCTTTCTGTAGGTTATAGCAAATTGGTGAACGGGATTGAAGGCCTAAGTTGTTCTTTGGAGCTCATTGAATCACAGGTTTGTTACTATTATCCCCTGATTCTACTTGTATATAAACTGAATTTGTTGATTAGGGAGGGCTTGAGTGGGATTGCTTGCAGGTTTAGTTGACACGTCTACTTGTTGGTTCCTTAGGAAACTGGACATGCTATAGTTTTATGGTATCTGTCTGTCTTGTTCGTGTAGCTACTGAACTAAAGTGTTAAAGGTGAAATACCAAATAAACTGCAGGTGGGTGGAAGAATGTAAACTGTAATAATTTCTAACTCTTCCGTGTGATCTTATTCTCTATTGAAGTTGCAATTATTTATGGTAGTGCATAAGTTTTTGATAACTTTTCAAGCTTGTTTGGCGGTAATGGACTTCATTTCTGTTACACGTTTACCGTATCTTCCATTTATAGGGAGCACACAAGCGCAGAGTTTTCATGATGCTGCTTCCATGAAGATACGAAGTGGGATCATCATGCTCTTATTTGGTGACATGGTGGATAAATTTGGTTGTTTCATTGATAAGAAAAGACATGTAGAAGTTTGGTGATACTTACACCACCACCAACAACATACCCAGTATAATCCCATAGTGGGGTCTTGGAAAGGTAGTGTATACGCATACCTTACCCCTGCCTTGTGGAGATAGAGGTACTCTTTCCAATAGACCCTCGGCTCAAGAAAGCATAAGCACTGCATTAATGAAAAGAAAAACAAGAAGGGACAACACCAAAAAGCTATGTAAAAGCAGCATAAATAACAACAAGATAGTAAGATGACTGAAATGAAAGAAACGACATGTAGTCATAAAAACCTAATACCAACAAAATGCGAGAGTTTGGGGATACTTAGAAATGAATAAATTATTTTCCTCACTAGCTTCTTGTAAATTCTATGAATAATGAGAGAAGTCTGAAAACACAGGGAGGTGTTGTGGAAGATAGGCTGTTTTATGCTTTGGGATCAATTTTCTCGGCATGATTAATAGTGATGAGTGTAAAATGGAACAAACGTTAAGAAGCAGGGACTTCTAAATTCTTAGTTTTTACTGCCCATTGACTTTTGTTTAATATCTCTTATTTTAGCTGGAAATAAGTTCAAACGTTGTGTTTGTTCTTAAGAAAATGAGTGAAAAAGAAAGTTTGTGTTTGCCTTCTGTTTGGTAGTGAGTCGACTCTGCAGTTTCAAGTTCTATGTGAAGAATATTGTGGCAAGAGACTTAAAATTTGACCAACAGCTAATGATGCATAATTGGAACTTGCATCTTCTTTATGGGGTCTGGAAGGGATAATTCATTAGCTTTATGGTGTCTCACTTCTTTCCAGTTGCAATCATTACATAATTCTACTGTGTGCTCTTTCCATTTGAAAAATAATGGTAAGTTGTCAATTGTGGAATCTTTTAAGTGGAAGATTTGCATGGATACTTTTGCTATACTGCTGAAGCAGTTAATTTTGATCAAACTGCCTTAGAGAAAGTTTCAGTTTTATCAGAATATGAGTTTTTCTTGCTTGGTGAACAATTTCTTGCCCTTTTTCTATCTTTTTCTCTTTTACTTGTCAAGTCTAATGTGTCAATTTTATCATGCTTCCTCTGTTTCTTAGTTCTCCTAACTTTGCTCAAATGCTCGTTATTGTTAGACTTAATGTATTCTATGTTTTATATATTAGGAACTTGAACAAGGAAGAGTACTGGCAAATTTTGCTTGTTCGACAACTAGAGAAGATAATGGAAACTTGTCAAATACATCTGCGGAATATAACTTTAAGGTTCTTGCATCTTTCAGTATTTCAAGACAACTTAGATTAGCTAGATATCATTATCTAAATGCAGTTTCGGCCTTACAATTTGAGCACGTTCTTATTGAGAAAAAACAGTTATCTTGCTGTCAGTTGTTGATACATTAATATTACTTGTATAAAAAAAGAAGTTGCTGATGCATCAATAATTTTTTAATCTATTGGCGGTCTCAGTTATCACATTGTATAACAACCTTTCTACTGGCGAACTGCCAAAGCATATTTGCTGTTGCTCCATTATTTCTTTAAAAGAAAACTGAAGGATACCCCTTTTGTTCATCGTTTTACTCCTTCTATATGTAGATCTTAGAATTAGGCAATCAGCTTGAGAAGAGCAAAATGAATTTGAAGTCATTGCAAGATCTCGAGAGTACGTTCAACAGGTATTTTCCAAAATAAACTTTGCATAGTTCTCTGTGCTCTCTTATCTAATTTTGGTGCATTTAATTTTACAATATAATCAGGTTTGAGGCTATGGAGGAGTTTGAAGATGCATGTTCTGGTCTTAAGATAGTTGAATTTGAGGGGAACTGCATCCGATTATCTTTGATAACTTCTATCCCAAACTTAGAAAGCTTGTTGCACAACCAAAATATAGTTGATGTTGTTGAAACACCAGAGAAGAATCATGAGTTGTTAATTGAACTGATGGACGGAACCAAGGAGCTAAAACATGCCGAGGTATAGTTTATCAGCAGTTTGTGCCATAAAAATTACGAATAACTCAATTTTCTTTCTACTGACGAGATGATATTTCAAAAGAGTACATAGTGGCATAACTTTATAAGCATGAAATGCTAGCATGTCACAGAAAAAAAATCTAAACTACACTTAACCTATCATGACAGGATGTTAGCTCAAAGTAGATTTATTAACCTTCTCCATAACTGCCACAAATTAAAATATGTGGCCGCTTTTTGATACATTGGCAACGGACATTCTGTAGCAAACAGTCAAAGGTTTAATATGGCTGGTGTTGAAGTATTGAAACAAATTAGGCTAAGACAATTGGTTTTGTGCTTACGAAGAGTATGTTAATTGAGATACAACAAGCCATATGCAGAAATTGAAAAATCTATCATTTCGTGTTATCCAGTATATTTGAGTGCTTAACTGACTGTCTCATTGCTTTACCTGCAAGCTGCTTTGATTTTCTCTCTTTGTTGAACTGTCCATTTATGTAGTTTTTACTGGTCATTAAGATATAAAGCTGCCATTTCTGATCTATTGTAACCTTAATCTACTTTTTGGTGATGCTCTTCAGATTTTCCCGAATGATGTATATATAAGTGAAATAACTGATGCTGCAAAATCCTTCAGGTGTGTTTCCTTTCATATTTCTCTTACACTCTAGTGGTCTTTTTTGGCATGTGTAAATTTATATAAAAACACTGAAATATTCATTTGTTTGATGCCTGAGCATAAAAATTTATCCTTTAGTATTTAAAGTAAAATTTGATGCGAAGTTTTAGTTGATTTTTGCAGAGTAATTTATATTCTCTTTTTATTTTGGAAGTAATTTGTAACATGATCTTGGAATATGTACGTGAGGCCCCATGTAACTTTTGAGGGTTATTTCCTGTTCGCTGCAACTATGAACTCAGCAGCTCAGCATGAGTACAGATAGATTTTGCAAGTTTCACTATGTTAAAGTGTGCATGCTCAATGAGTTCCATACAATAGATATTTTAGGTGATAAATGTTTAGGGCAAGATGCTCATTTACATTGTTTTGGCTAGTGGCGAGCTCTTTCTTTCAATGGATTAGAATAGTCTGACATCATTGTCCAAGTTTTGGTTAATTTGCACTCATATGTTTAACAACAAATCCTTAAGTTATGTGAGAAGGCACGGGAGAAAATATGTTATTGATATATTGAATGAATGAATAATACTACACAAGAGGTCCTTATTTATAGCTATACTATACAAGGACATACTACTCCTCTACCGATGTGGGACAATACTACACTATATACATGCTGTAAATTAACACTCCCCCTCAAGCCAGTGCATACAAATCATATGTACCGAGCTTGTTACATATATAACTAATACGAGGACCAGTGAGAG